TAAAACACATTTTGGCATTATTGGTTTTCAAATAGTTACATCGGTTAAAAAAAGGTAAAATAACTAAAATCCCATCCCTAATCATTACTTTGTTCTTTATTTCGTTTTAAAATATGTACTAATATACTAGTACAAAAATAAATTTAATTCATTTAGCATATTTTAAATATTATAACACGAATTTTAATATAAAATATATTTATATTTAATTATTAACTTACTTAGTTTTAATAATTATATTATTCAAAAAATTCCAATAATTTTAATAGTACACCCATTAATGTTATGTTAGATACTTTAAGTTTATTGAATGTCAAACAATGTATTGTGTTTAATTCTATGTTATTTATTTATAAACTAAAAATTGGAGCTTTACCAGATTATTTAAACAATAGACTGGTCAGGGTAGAGAGTATTCATGAGCATCAAACAAGAAATGCTCAAAACTTTTATATAGAAAAATATAATCGAGTCCAGACTACTAAAAATATTTTTGTTAATGGGCTAAACATGTTTAATAATCTGCCAAATAATGTTAAAAACTAAACTAATAGGTTTAAGTCTTTATTGCTGAGTTACATACACACTGTAAAAATTAAATGGCCCGATTACCTAGATAATCTAGGGTCCATTTATAACCCTAGATTATCTATGTAAAGTACACATAAAAATAAGTATTTTTTTACATACAAATAATAATTTTTTTACATAAAAATATGTATTTTTTAAATAAAAATATGTAAAGTATTTCCACAGTAATATGTAGTTTTTTAAATAAAATTATGTAATTTTTTAAATAAAATTATGTAATTTTTTCCAAAAAAATGTAATTTTTACGTAAAGTTAAGTATTTTTTTACATAAAAAACATGTCATTTTTAACAGAATATTATGTAATTTTTTTTACAAAAATATGAAATTAAAAAAAAATGTGTATATTTTTCAAAAAGTATGTACAAATATGTATTTCAAATATTTTTAAAATAAATACTTATTTTAAAAATATTTTACATATTTTTTAAAAAATATTCACGTTTTGTTTAAAAAATTACATATTTCTGTAAAAAAAATTCACAATTTTCTATAATATATAAAAAACATTTTACTTACCAATTATAAAGGTATACCTGGTTGGTAATACTAACGGCCGGTAGGCTTTTAATAAATAAAAGTACTCTCTAAAAATGACTAATTGTCATAGCGCCCTAATGCTCGTCAACAGCAATTTGTATCCAGGACATTTAGCAGTCAATTTCCATCTCAAATTGTCCGAATAAGCCGATTTTTTCCATTTAATATGGAATATACCTATATCAAAAACTGCTCTACTTTAATTATTTTTAACGGATTTAGGTGACAATTCTATATAATAATTGGCTGTTAAATGTTCGGGATACCATGCATACCATGGTATAAGTAAAAAAGCAGCCATTAATAACTATATTAACAAGTCATTTTCAATTAATTCATTTTTAGAGAGTAGGTTACTTTATAGCACCTACATAATAGTAGTATTATAATCGACCGTTCTACGTAAATATAAAATAATTATTATAATAATATTATTATACTATCTTTTCTATAAAAAATGTGTAATAGGTTCAAAAATAATAAAAGTTGGTGGATTTGCTTTTATTTATATTTATCTTATAATTTAAAAAATCAAAAACTCAAATGGCACATACAGCAGTGTAGACAGAAATAAGTATTTATTAAACAACACAATTATATATAAAATCCTTGTTTTTTCAAACCTCAACAGTAGGTATTCTGGATACGTATTTCGAGAGAAATGCTCACTTCTTCTCTACGCCGATACAATATCTAAAAACTAACTTAAAATTGGGTGTTTATATACATTAGTACACTTAGGTACTTAATCGCTTTGTTTAACTACATTGATTTTATTAAATTTACATAATTTTGTCTATTTTTGTACGATTTAATTCCTAAAAAGTCAGACCTAAGATTTTCAGATTTTGTATTTAAAACCTTTATAATTAAATTGTTTTTAATAACGTCACTTTGTAAGTTAACGCCTTCACTTTGATTTTTTTTAAATAAATATTGTGAATTTAACTCGTTTAGGTTTAGACTGTTAGTTAAAAATGACTCAAAAGTACATGAAAAAGGTTGTGTGCATACTTTTATAGTATTATTATGTAATCTAATAACACTGTAGGTAAGTAAATTTTTAACTTTTGAAATATCACAGCTAAACGCTCGGACACGTAAACATAATTTTTGGTCGTAGATTCCAAATCCGTGCTCGGTCTAAAAAAGTTCGATCTGGGGACACACTGTATACTGGTATATTATAATTTGTTAAATAATATATTTTACCCCTTGTGTCAATATTCCTATGCTTTTTATTTTATTTAATAAAATATCACAATTATACACAATAAAAAAAATCAGCACAAAACCATTTTAAATTTCCTAAATTATTTAAGAAAAACGCTCAGGGACACGTGTTCAATTTGATCAATTAACAAATTTTGCAAGAATTTTAATTTTTTTTAAATTTAGATGGGTCCAGCCAAATTGATTTTTTAAAATGTATACAGGGTGTTTAAATTTATACAGGGTGTTTCCAATATCTTTGAATTTTGACCTGATACAGCTAAACCAAGCACGGATTTGTAATCTATAGATTATAATATATTATATTACACTGTAGGGGGGTAAAAATATCACAACTAAACGCTCGGACACGTAAACTTAATTTTTGGTCTTGGTTTTCGGTGTAATATGCATATTAAAAGATTGAAACGATTTAAATATTTGGCAGCAATCACTAAACATACATTTATAAAGTTTTCCCTTTTTATTTCTATGACAGTACTGATGCAAATTATACTTTTTTAAAAGTACAAATCTTTGACCAAAAGAATTACATTTAAACATGCTTTTCAAAAACCTTTGTACACTTTAAATAGGTTTGTTTGCAGTAAGTTAATAAACAAACTCACTTACCTGACGACTATTTAAAACACTTTATAGTATTATATAACGACTATAATAATTAACCACTATAATAATGCAAAATTATAAAACAAACAGTAAAGGCATCTGTTTTGTGCAGTAAGAAAAAATGGCTGTCTTGCATGTTGCAACGCATTGAACACATTCGCATTATCGTCTACACGGATTTTACATACTTTTTTACGATTATTACATATTTTTTTGTAACAATAACATATTATTATGAAAATTAATAAAATAACATAATATTATGTAATTTTACTTTATGTAATAAATTGGGTCATCTCCTTATACTTTTTACATACTTTTATGTGATAATTACATATTTTTATGTAATTGTATTTAAGTTACATAATTATTTGAAATTTTACTTAAATTTAGTTAAGAATCTTAATTTCTACCGTGATTTTTTAGGTAATTTTACATTTTTTATTTGATAATGAATATTTACCTAAAAAATCTTGGTAAATCTACCATTATTTTCTAGGTAATTTTTAATTCATTTTTTACAGTGCACAGTCATATTTATTATAATTGTTTATATTTTTATATGTGTTGTAAAATAGCTTATGCTAAATAAAGATTATTATTATTATTATTATTATTATTACAATGGAGGACACTGGAATAGCGTTGAAGCAAAAGGTGCCTGAAAGTTGTTATGGGCACTGGGCATCACTTTGCTTTGCCGAATTTCATTCTCCTTCATCTCCAAGACAAATCCCCAGATAACAGAGCCACTATAACCATTGAGAAGTCTCGGAATTGCTGCCGCATCCTTCGGGTTCTCCAGATTTGGCCTTCTGTGACTTTCCTCTTCCAGAACTGGAAAAATCGTTAGAGATATGCATCAAATGCTGAAGTACTCGATTTTTTTACGAAAACGAGCTGAAGAAATAAAAAAGAGAATGGTGGAAATGTATCAAGCTAAAAGGAGAAAAATTATGCTTATTTTGGCCCAAAATATTGTCATTCTCATTCTAAACACTTTAATATGCCCTCGTATACAATATATTGTAAATTTTATTATGTAGGTACTTATTTCCATTTGCAATCGTGAAGAACCAAAACATTCTATGTAATTTAAATCACAAATATTTTTTGTATTTAATTCAAACTTGTCCAGTAAATCTAGATAGTTTTTTTAACCAATTAATTAGCTAATATCAGCTGAAAATTATGAACCAAAAACGGTTTCAAATTCGTTCGGTATAAACAAAAAACAAACCTTAATTAACAAGTCTAATCAGATTTCCAAAACCACCCTGCGAAGAACAGGTGATCTAAAAATAGACCAACACCTTCACATCAGCATTGAAACATAACCTAAACGTATCGATTGACATCAACCAAACCAAAACAAAAAACTCACATTTTAGTTACAATCTTACACCAAAAAAAAAAATACAACTAACAAAGAGACGCAGCTCATGAAAACTTTGTTTCTCCGAAGGATGCGGGAAAGACGCTGCCGTCGAGACGCGAAGCGACGCTCGTCGCTGTGCAAGACTCTCTGAAGTGCGCCGATGCCAAACTTCCAACGAACAATGGCGTAACCCGCCGCGCCAATCAAACAACGCAAATCGCGAGCGCCAGTCGCGCGTCACTAATCTCCCGATACGCCTCTTGAACGAAACCGCTAATCTTGACACCTCGGAACGAAAATGTAAGGTTAATTCGTTCGGAGGTGCCATGAACATGGTCAATGCTCGCTAAATTTTCTGTTCGTCCTCGAATTCGCTGAAGATGACGTTCGTGGTGCACCAGGTGGTGGTGTTTTGGAAGGTTTCTGTAATTGCATTGCGTGCGGAGTTGGTGTATCAGTGGGCATCATAAAATTGGATCGGCATCGGCAAAACCGAAGGTGCAAGGTGGGGGTGGGGGCGTGGCATGCGTGGGGAACGCCCTCGGAAAGGGAGAACGGGATCGGATCAAGTCACCCCTGAACGAGTAAGTGACATGATGCTGAAGTCAGTCTCCGGTACGCTTCGTGTGGTAAAGCACACGTAAGTCTCTATTTTTGGCCAAAGTGAGCGGACCACGTGGTCTGATCTCGCGGAAATCTTAACGGATAATTGCCGTCAAATCGGGCGCACCCGCCCAAATTAATCGGCCAGAATAAGTTTCGTTGAGCGGAACCCGTTCGCGTTGTTTTGGTTTTGGTGATTGTTTTATTTTAACGGTGCTATTGGACTTTTGATTTATGTTATTGATACATCAACGCTTTACTTGCGTTATCAGGTAGGATACTGTTTTTTTTAGTTTTAATATTAGTAGTGGTTTTTATTAATTAAAAAAATCAATTTATCATAAAATGTACCTACACTGAGAAAACGAAATATTTATTATTAAGAAATCAAAACAGTTTTTTTTTAAAATATATGTTAACTATTAAAAAATTTGTTAATCGTGAACAAATTATATACTAATTATTATAATATCGTCCAGTAATGGTGTTTCAGACAAATAAAGGGTAAAGTTGTCTTAGAACTGTGATATATTAACAGTTAATATACCTAAATTCGAATAAAACGTTTTAACATTTGTCAACATAATTTTAAATGCAATATGCGCAAGCATGTGACGTTGCCGTAGTTTTTTACAAAATGAAATTTCGATATATTAACAGTTAATATATCTACATTTGCTAATACGTTATGAGCTTCTTTAATTCAACTTAACCAGTTCTTAGACCCAAATTAATATTTCTTTCGCCATATCCAACTCAACGATATGTTAATAGTTAACGTGCCTCGTTATTAACAAATATTTCGTTCTCTCAGTGTATTTATACCATTGTGACAATCGCGCTGCCAAACATTTAATTATCTATGTTTAAAAAATATGATTTTCTAAACTTTTCCGTCGGTTTCTGATCAGAATTGTGTGTTCGATAGTTTTCCCCTTATTATTTAAACAAATTTTATTATATTGAATATATAACTTAAAAGGAGTACCTACATAACTATAAAAATGTTTACAGGATTTCCAATCCTAACCTATAAAATCTTGCATATCAAAATTTAATGTACATTATTATTGTAGGTGTTAAATATTTTTGGAAAAAGAATTATTATAAATTTTAAAATCTTGTATATCAAATGTATTGAACAGTTACTTCTGAAACGAATAATTTGGTAATTATTATAAATAAAAAAATTAAAGACAGTGCAATCCAATGTGTAAAATGCTCTTGGAAAAAGCTGCTCCTGAACCAGATTCCATCAATATTTAGACCACGTTAAAGAAAATTGGAAAATGAAATATTTTGGTCATATTAAAATTATTATAAAAACAGAATATTATGTATTAAATAATTTTGGAAAAAACTCCTAAAGTTTATACTATCAAAAATAAAACAATAACATGAAATTTAAAAATGCTTCTATATTTTGGTAATATAGGAATTATTATAAAAACGCTCAGTTATTACTCTTCTAAATCAAATGTATTGAATAATTTTGAAAAAGCTACTCCTGAAACGAATATACCTAAGGAAATTGAAAATGCTATATTTTGGTAATTATTATAAATAAAAAAAAATTAAAGCCCAAATAAAAAATCTTGATATCGGATGTAAAAATGCTCTTGGAAAAAGCTACTCCTAAACCAAATACCATCAATATTTAGACCACATTAAAGAAAATTGATACATGAAATATTTTAGTCATATACAAATTATTATAAAAACAGAATTTCAAAACCTTAACTAAAAATCTTGTATATCATAGGTATTAAATAATTTTGGAAAAAACTCCTAAAGTTTATACTATCAAAAATAAAACCATAACATGAAATTTGAAAATGCTTCTATATTTTGGTAATACAGGAATTATTATAAAAACGAGAATTCAAAACCCTCAGTTATTATAATACTCTTGTAACAAATATAAGGAAATTGAAAATGTTGTATTTTGGTAATAATTATAAATAAACAAATTTTAAACCCCAAATATAAAATCTTGATATCAAATGTATAAAATGCTCTTGGAAAAAGCTACTCCTAAACCAGATACCATCAATATTTAGACCACGTTAAAGAAAATTGGAAAATGTCATATAAAAATTATTATAAAAACAGAATTTCAAAACCTTAACTAAAAATCTAGTATATAATAGGTATTAAATAATTTTGGAAAAAACTTTAACGTTTATACACTATCAAAAATAAAACAATAACATGAAATTTTGAAAATGCTTCTATATTTTGGTAATATAGGAATTATTATAAAAACGAGAATTCAAAACCCTCAGTTATTACTCTTCTAATTCAAAAGTATTGAATAATTTTGAAAAACCTACTCCTGAAACAAATATAAGGAAATTGAAAATGCTGTATTTTGGTAATTATTATAAATAAAAAATTTTAAAGCCCAAATTTTGATATCGAATGTATAAAATTCTCTTGGAAAAGGCTACTCCTAAACCATATACCGTCAATATTTAAACCACGTTAAAGAAAATTGGAAAATGTAATATTTTAGTCATATAAAAATTATTATAAAAACAGAATTTTAAAACCTCAACTAAAAATCTTGTATATCACAGGTATTAAATATATTGGAAAAAACTCCTCCTAAAGTTTAAACTATCAAAAATAAAACCATAACATGAAATTTGAAAATGCTTCTCCATTTTGTTAATATAGGAATTATTATAAAAACGAGTATTCAAAACCCTCAGTTACCCTCTTGTAAATCAAATGTTTTGAATAATTTTGAAAAAAACTACTCCTGAAACAAATATAAGGAAATTGAAAATGCCATATTTTGGTAATTATTATAAATAAAAAAAATTTGGAGCCAAATTAAAAAAATCTTGATATCGCATGTTTAAAATTTTCTTGGAAAAAGCTACTCCTAAACCAGATACCATCAAAGAAAATTGTAAAATGAAATATTTTAGTCATATAAAAATTATTATAAAAACAGAATTTCAAAACCTTAACTAAAAATCTTGTATAGGTATTAAATAATTCTGGAAAAAACTCCTTTTGAAGTATATACTATAAAAATAAAAGCATAACATGAAAATTTTAAAATGATTCTATATTTTGATAATATAGGAAATAGTATAAGAACAAGAATTCAAAACCTTATAAATTAAAAAGCTAATCCTGAAATGGATATTGTAAAAAATTAATACATTTGATATGCTACAGAACAGTATAGGATTAGTCCTTATTACCTATTTATAAGCTTGTTAATTGTAATAAAATCACTAAAAATGTTTACATAGGTACATAGGTAAATAATTGTTTGAATTGTAATCCGTTATGTGTGTATTTTAAGCGGTGGAGTCGAGAATGAGCGTTCTCTAAAAGTACTCGTTTTGCTCCTTTGAAGCTCAAATCTCGAATAAAAGTCGTAACAATTTTATAGCGTAGCGCAAAGCCTTTAAAAGTTTCACATAAAAGCAATCTTTTTAAATCCCGTCGACTTTAAAACTTCATAGTTAACTGTATGTAACGTTTCAACGAATGTTTGTAGCCCGATACGAATTAATAAAAACCGCTTTGATCTTCTTTTTGCGATTGTGCGTTTACATCATTAAATTCCCAGTTTTTTAAGTGTGTAAAATTTTTATTGAATTGTGAGGTTTTAATTATGTGTCGAGAGCCCGGCGCTTTTTTACATGTCGGCGTCTCCGAATGGCATCAAAGCACCGCACGCACGCTTTGATTTTTCAAAGAAGGAAACTGCACTCACGCACACGAACCTATAACACAATAAAGGTAATTCGATTTATTGTCCAAATATTTATTGAATTCGCGAACTAATATTTGTTTAAATATATACAATTATAAAACAAGTCTATCACACAAATTAATATTGTTCTATTGTTTATTACCTAGTACAGTCATACAAGAAGTACTGCATGGGTAGAAAAAATCTCAATCTACAAATGATTTATGTTCATCTCGACACAGCTTCTTGCATTCTTCACAGTCATTTTTGCTTTTATTTCAACTCATAATATATTCAAAACAAAAATTTGATGCCCCTCCTCATCATTAATCATTTCAATCATTTGAATATAAAAATAAATATAAATCCAGAAATAAAAGAGTCTCTCATTATAGCCGATCAACTATCAATACTTATCTGCTTGAGACAAGCGATTTGATTATTTTTTTTTCGAGATGACATTTACAAGCGCCTCGGTTTAATTAAGAGGTAGCTCCTGCGTCAAACAAGAAGACTTAAAGGTCAAGTGATATAACTTAATAAAATTAGGCGAAAAAGAACAAAATATTTGGTTGTTTATTTCATTTTTGCAAGATTGGTTCAAGTGTTTTTGTATAGTACATTACAGGTAATAAAAAGATCGTAAAACACGATTCGAATCATCATCCTTAAAAAGAATCGCAATCAATAAAAACCTAGTAGGTACTACAAGAGGCATAAATAAATCATTTATATATCCATGTCAAAGGCTAACATCTTGTTTCATAGTGACTTTAGCATATTGTACAGAAGGTGATGTACGATCTATGACATTGTGTTTTCTATTGTCAGCGACGGGAGGCCACTTTACCGCTGTAACTAAATGAAGACAAATTTACGACTCTTTTGAAGATTCAGCCGATTCATTGATCACTCGTTGTCAAAGACAACTACTATCTACAATCTTAATTAACGTTTTTATCTTGGATTTTAGCCATTTTATGATGTAGATTGTTAATTCAATTAATGTTTCTTTCCAGTGGTCCTTAAGAAGTCATCCTGGGAGCCACATCCGGACCCGTCCCGACGCCGGGCGGGTTTTCTCCAGTAATCTCAGCGCACAAAACGCTTTCCTTGAGAGATTCTAGCTGTGCCGAAGCCCTTTGGAAGATGCCGCATAAAGGTAAGATTTTTATTCTTTTTAATACCAATCAAACTATACGTCCCAAATTCCTCAACCATGTCAGGTTTTTGATATATTCTAACCCAAAATTAGATATACCATTTAAAAGTACAACTTCCTATTCATGATGCCGTTTTATACAAGTTTTAGAAATGCATGAAAACATGGTTTTTGTTTTATTGCAGCTCTACTTTGTGCCAGTTGGTCTTGAGATAAAGAACCTTTATGATTAGGCTTTAGGAGCGACTTTAAAGTAAAGTATTAAACCCTTTTTGCAATTATAACCGTTTCATCTTAAGATTGATTTATTACTGTTAACCAATAATGCTTTTTAGGGCAACTTGCCCCTAAGAAACGTCTATACTACAATAAGCTTTATGAAGGTTTATCAGATGCCTATTGGTTTTAATCGTGCTCGGAAAGTTGGCTTTAATCCATCTGTTAAAGTCGACTCCTATAGGAGCATTTGGTCTTAGGACTACTTTTCCTTTATGTAAGAAAGTTACAGAACCAAACAGTAAAAAGGTTTAATGATTGTTCCTAGTAGAGCAGCAATACGACTTTAATATAGCCAATTTGCTTTCCAATTTGCAAATTTGCATGCGTGTTGCTATTATTTCTTTATTAAAAGGTTTTTGTCTTGATAATCGCGAAGAAAATAACTCTTGTCAACATGTCGCCGTACAGTGTACATCTTTATAGAAAAACAAAGTGGACTCCTGCAAGAGCTGTTAAAAGTCGTTTTTCTGTGTTGTTGGCAAAACATCCGGTTGATAATACCTATTGTATTCCTTCAACGTCCTGTTCCAACCAATAGCTAAATCCGCATCATTCTATCACAGAAATTAAAACAATTTTAGGTGTTATCATCTGACAAAGCATTATAGCCCTGATGGCGATACTTTTGATGAAAATAAAATACTGCAAAGTTGTTTTAAAATGCTCGCACAAAATTCCAATTGGTTTTATGATTGCATTGAAAAATGCAGTCATAGGGCTTAGGTTTAACAAACACTTTTTAAAGCAATGAAACTTTTTAGCAGTTGTTTGCAAGAGTACATTGTTTTATAACTGAAACAGCCATTTAAATTAGAAAATATTGCTCCACTACGATCAGAAAATTTTAAAAAATTTGGTTTTTACGAGCATGTTATTGCTAGAGAATATTTTTTCGATAAGAGATGGTTTAAAAAACGGAATGTAGATCGGGTAAGTAATTTAGCCAAAGCCTTTAAAATTGTTTAAATTAAGCGCATTTTAGTGTCTCGGCAATCAACTATTATCAGTAAAGTTATTGGTTGACAAAAGATAATAATTTTCTTATTAAGTTTTCTTATAAGGACAGTTATAGGATTCTCCTTTTTGATCCTATGATGGTTTTATCGAAGCTATATAGCTGCTGTTAAAGCAAATAGGTTTTAACTAAGCAATGCAAATAACCCTTAAGAGTAGTTTTATGGAACCATTGTATACCTACCTTAAAAAACCTATTTTGCTCCTTGGGTCATCTTTTTCTAAAGTTGTGTTCTTCCACTTTGTATTATCACTATTGCTTCACTACAATCATGTTTTTGTTTCCACAATACATCAGGCTTTTCATTAACTTATTGTCATGATCTTACAAAAACTCAATTATTATTTTATCAGCAGATAACTTTGATAGCACAGTACGTTCTGAAATCTCTTCATCTCTGTAAGAGCGATTCGAAATATGCTCCCGATTATCCTTGCAGCCCTGTCGGTTAATGGAATCTATAGGCTTTTGAATAGAAGTCCTGTGGCTTTGACAACTCTCCTCTTCGTTTGTCCTTTTCGAATTCCCGCACAGTGGCTCCAACGAAGTTTTGTTCGCATCTCCCTGAAGCATGTTTTTATTCGAGAGAACTTCAGAGTTGGAGATGTGACCATGACATTCCTTGTGCCTTCAGTTTTGACTACAGTAATAAAAATCAAAGTTGCACTTTTTCTTTGATCATTTCATCGCGACTGTGCGCCACCCTCGATCTCGCCCCTCGATTATGCCGGTTGCGGTCTTTAATCAACTTGCAATTAACTGGAGGTTTTTTCTCTGTGCAGTGCACCCCACTTATAATGATCGAGTTAATATACAGAATGCGTGATCGCCTTGTAAAACCGCGTGTGGCTTTAAAAAGCCTTCAATTTGGCGCCTCACCCCCTTACTTTCTTTTGCGCCTTAATTGTATTGCGGGCCAAATTTTAATTTACACAGATTTAGCCTATTCAGTTGTGCACGTTTTAAGTTACACAGGGGCAATTGATTAACTGGAAGTTCTTATTCAAATTAAAAGCTTTGATATGGTTAATCAAGGCTTGATGATAGTGAATGCTTTATCTTCTGTCCCAAAAACACATTTTGAGATTTTTAAAGCTGATGTGGCTAATGCCCAGACGAATTGTATGATTTGGTATCTATATCTAGGTTTATAGTGATAAAAACAATCATCTTTCTCTAAGTTACGGTTTTTGGTATGATACCCTTTTTCATTTCAATTAAATTTCTTTGTTTGAAGACTTGAGTGGCAAGTAATGAAATAAGTTGCCGGAACAAAACCCGGCGAACATAGACGTGAGTTTCTCGAAGGCAGGAACACAGAATCCAATCCGAATTTGCAAGATTCAACCGAGAACTAAAATAAGTACACGTTTGTTCAAGTTGATGCACTTAGTGCCGCTTTTCCAGGAATCAGCGATCCTCGTCGACAAGCTCTCTGCGTCTCTTTTCAATTATAATGTATTCCGAGGCGTCTTTCTCCCACCGCCGCGAAAATGGCGCCTCTTTGTTGACTCGGTAACCCGTAGTTCGCGACATTCTCGCTCAAATTGCATTAACCTTAAAATTACATGGAGAATTGAGGATGCACTGAGACGTGAATTCCGTGAGCAGGGCGAGGGGCTGTTTAACAGGTAAGACGGTGACAGTTTTCAGCACACAGACATAAATTACCTAATAGGGAAATGAAAACCAATTTTCACGCGAATTTATTCAAGCTTTTCAAGTCGAAAGATGTATTATGCAGAATTTCCGATGATGAAATTTTGGAAACCACCTCTTGAATTTGTCATTATTTAAAAAGGTGTTTCTAAATCACATACCTTTAGAACCTGATACTTGGCTGTATCTAATGGCTTAATTTTGATGTATAATGTGCAAACTTGTATATGTATGTATATTGTGCAAACTTGGATAGTTTATAAACTAGCTGGATAGTTTATAAACCAAGGATCTTGGCTAATTTACTTGAAATTATTAGGGAAACTAAAATAGCTGGATAGTTTGTATACTATCCAATTCAATTTGGCTAATACGAAAATTTCTAGTAACACAAAATAGCCAATCTTTAGCTAGTTTGTAAACTAACCAACTTTGCCAATTTTTGTTGGGTTTGCTCATATTTTAGTTGGGTTTACTTCTCATTTTTGCCCATTTTAGTTGGGTTTTTTGCTCAATGGGGCGGGGGGCCCAATGGGGCGGGGTCGGTTGGGTTGTGTTGTTGAGTTTGGGTTGGTTTCGGTTTTTTCTCTAACTTTAGACCATTTGACCAATGGGGCGGGGGGGCCAATGGGGCGGGGTCGGTAGGGTTGTGTTGTTGAGTTTTCTAGCAAGAAAGCGTTAAAATTTTGCCTATGATTCATTTTAAAAACGTTAAAATGCACAAAACAAATCCGGTTAAAACGAAAAACAATGCCGTAACCTCACTTTTTTAATAAATTAGCCAGAGAATTGGTTGGTTAGTTTACAAACTAGCTAAAGCTTGTGTTACTAGAAATTTTGGTTTTCATATTAGCCAAACTGAATTGGATAGTATACAAACTATCTAGCTATTTTAGTTTCCCTAATAATTTCAAGTAAATTAGCCAAGATCCTTGGTTATTTTGTAAACTAGCCGCTAATTTAGTTGAAAATATGTTTTCAATTAAAATAGCTGACAGTTTGGCTAGTTTATAAACTATCCAGCTAGTTTATAAACTATCCAAGTTTGCACATTAGCCATAACATATACATATATGTATGAAATTTTTTTGTTGCCTTAAGCTTGATAATAATACATTAGCAAGGAAGCTTTGGTTAATGGTTGTAAGCTCGAATTTAAGTGTGGAATAATCCTTTAATACATTACCGGTAATGCATTACGAAGGAAAAGGCTTCTAATGTTACTAAGTTAGCCATAGTGCTGTGCACATTGAATTGGTAATCTGCGATTCAGATTTTCCATATCAGTTCAGTCTGATATTAACGGAGATATTACCTTTCGAATTAATCAATTAGTTTATGAAGTGGTCTGATAATGGAGTTGATTGCAAATTTGGAATTGGGAGATGAATTATTTACTCAGCGAAAAACATACTCTTTAGATCTGGTTACACGCAAAGAAAGTTGTTGTCAAAATCAATATGAATCTTCTTTACAAATTGTGTTGAAAATACGGATAACAAATTTATTACTATATATAAGTTACACACCTAGAACAGCAATTTGTACTTGCTACACATATTTTTATATGTGCATTTTAGTCATGTAGGTACTTGTTGCGTTTGTAACTATAATCTGTGTCCAGAAAATGTTATAACTGTGTTCATAAATATTATAATTTATGGTACAAGATGACAAAACTTTGTAGAGTTTTTTACAACAATTACTTAAAAAGTATTTCTCCAAATTGTCGTAAAAATAAAAGAAATGTTAAACACTGCCGTCAAAAATGACACAATATTGTAGTAATTATTCAAGCAGCGACCAAAAATCACTTCTGCATATTATAAGGCTTTATTTGTACATTACTTATAAAATGTTGTTGCATTTCGTCACCCTAATATTGTATGTTAAAAAAACGAAAAATTTAGGTCTATGTTTCTACAGGATTATACGTGGCCTACGCTTTACATACCACTTAAACATAATTCTATAGAATGTATATTCTATGTATACATATATATATTAGGGTGGTCCTTAATAAGGTTATTTTCAAATTTCTTTGCTC